GAGAGAGAGAGAGAGAGAGAGAGAGAGAGTGCTTGTACGTGTGTGTTTGTGTGTGAGAGGAGGGAGGAAAAGGAGGTGAAGGGATGGGGGCAGAAAGTTGAGGCAACTGCAGATGACGGAACATTGTCAGAGAACAGGAATGGAGGGGAAAGGAAAACATTAATTTTCGAGAAGAAAATAATTATGCTCTGTCGCGGTCCTGATTCGAACCAAGGACCGATTGAATGAGAGGCATACACCGTAACCTCTCAACCACGAAAGACCCCTTGGAGTGTGTAACTTTCTCCGCTCATTTGGCTCGATTCCGTCGGGAATGAACATTTGTAAGGCAGTGTGGTGAAATCAGGCGCTAATCAAAATAATGAAATCGAAGAAACAGGCAGTTTGGCAATTTTTATGGAATTTCTATTTTTTGTTCAAACCCTTTTTATATCCATATAAAACACATTGCCATGTGAATTTGACTGTAAACTTTGATTAAATGCAGAAAATGAGTAGTTTTTACTTTTTGAAGGACTCTAAAGCTATTGAAGTTATCGAACTTTGGCGGCCTTTTCCCCGATAATTTTAACACTGAAACCAGGAGACCCCACCTCCTTCAATCGCAAATATCTTGGCATCTGTTCAAGAGAGATGAGTATTTTTCCTTTGAAAGCAATGAAAGTGAACAAGCTTTAAGAAGATTCCAATTACTCATAATGTCCAGAAATTGACAAGCGCCTGATTCAACCGTGTCTCGACACATTTATTAATTCTGAAGTCCTGCCTCTTAAATGACATGTGGTGATGAAAGGAGGTTCAGATCTATACATCGTCAACGAAACGTTTGTTCTTCTCGACCGTTCCCTCGTTGTGTCTGTCCCTTGCTACAGTTGGAAAATCGCTACCTAAGAATTACAGCGTTCTAGAAAAAAATCTATCTGACTTTTATGGCCGTTTTGAGTTACTAAAACCATGACATCAAAAACCAAATGTGAAGGGTGCTGACAAAATGAGTTACTTTTTACTGTCCACAAATGGAAATATTGTCCAAAAATCGACACTAGGGTCAGATCTGTAGAATTTCTATTGATGCCATATTCTTTAACTAAAACATGCCTTTTATTATGCCATACATATACATTGTAAAAACTTCACCTATAAACATGATGTATCTATTTCCATAGAACTCGAATCCGAGAAGTAACTCATTTTGTCAACACGCTTCTCAAATGTTCTATCTGCTTTATCAAAATTGTGAGATTATTATGAATCAATATTAAGATATTTAAAGAATTGCATTCGAAAAAGCTTGACATGATGTGAAACTCAAAATCTTTGACTTCAAAATTCTCAAAACTAGGTAGTGAGCAGATAGAACTTTGTTGTTCTCGAGGTAGCAAAATGTGTCACGACGCCGTG